TCTGTAAGCTCCCCCCCCCATTATTCTAACACAAGCCACATGACAAAGATAAAGATGAATTTAAACCAAAGATGGCCTGTTGTGCCAGGGTTCCAAATTACACACAACAGAGGGTCTGTGTTTCCTCATATGTTCCATCATTTTTTTGAGATTTTACAAATGTTGATACAGTTTAATATCTGTACAGCTAGAACTGTGACAGCTTTGCCCAACTAAGAAAGATCACTTCCACTGGAGCAACACTTTTTTATTTGCCCCTTTCTATCAGTTCTTTATGAAGTACAGCACGGCCCAAGTGGAAAGTCCAAGCTTCCAGCTCTGGTATGACAGAATGACAGGGGAATCAATGGGATGAAAAATGGACAGCAACACCAAGACTAAGGGCACTGAGATGTATAGATCTGCTGTCCCTCCCCCTCATCTATCATACAAATAACAGGGGAGGGGGAGGGATGGGGGCTAAAGTCATGTGTAGAAGCATAAAACCCGATAAACCTTTTTGTCTTACTGAAAAGATTCCAGAACAAACAGTTATTGATTACTGGTTTGCGTGGAGGAAACCTTGAAACTGTAGTATGATTAAAGTTTTAGAAGTAACTTTGTAACTTTAACATATTTCATAATAGCGATCTGTCATTGCTTTTATGACTTTCATTCTCATTACAGTGTAAAAAGAAATAAAAATAAATTGTATACATTTTCAGAAAGCTATCACACACGCATGGCTATTTAGCTCCTGTTATTGTCTGAGCTGGATTTATTAACACTCCTTGCACAAAATGTTTGTCAATTTGAGTTAAGTTATGGAAGTTACACCACTTTACTGTCTGCACAAAGAGTGCAGACAGTAAAGGCGGTTAAAATGTTTGAATTACAAACTTGTAATTCATAAGGGGCCAAGGTAGTGTAAAATACTGATGTGACAGAACTTATTCCATGTCTGCACAGCATGTTTATTGTTGATGCAGAAGACATGATGTCCAGTAGATGTCAGCCTTGTGAGCAGGACGTCATTATGAGCTCAGGTGTTCATATACATAGATCTGAATATTTGCAGTTTTTGTGGCACAAAGATCCCACTCAGCATTTACAGTTTTACTGTAGTTTAGAATGTTCTCACACCTATAGAAAATTAGACTTAGGTTCCACAGGTCGTACAATGTGAATGACATCATGCTTATATGGTAAGGAGAAAACAATGTCAAATGATAAATTTGAAGGTGCTAAACTATTAAAGGCTTAATAAAGGGATTGTGGACAAAAGAACTTCATTTAGGCAATTTATTGTAACCATTATTGTACAGTTGCAAGCAGGTTGCTCCTACTTAAGCTGCAGTAAAACACTTGGAGGGGCTCTGTTTATTCCAGCTGTTGTTGCCTTTGTAATCGGTGCTTATCATATTGATTCACAGAAGAGATGTGCCATGTCAGGTTTCATGCAGTGTAGCTGCAGCTTCAGTGCTAATCTAGGTGCCAATGTCCTGCTATGCAGCCAGGTAGCATTGAAGTGTTTAGCAGTTAAGTGCTGTACTTTGGTTTCTATCTAAATAACTCTCCAATCAGGAAAACGTAGCCTTCACTGCATACATTATTGTTGATAAATTCATCAGTTACTCTTTCTCATCTTACTAGCTATCAGATTAGCCACTTGTTTACACCACCATCATCCACTTGAACCAGAGGGAAGAGTGAACACTTAGTACATCATTTCATAGTTATTGTCCTGTCTGCTTGGCTGCTTACCTCTGCTGTGCACTGTATCACTTTATGTACGAATAAAGTGGGAGCAGTGAAAAGCATTTCACATTATTTGTGTTGCATCTGAACAGCCTCTGAGGCAAACACATTCACACAGCAGATGTACACAGTGTGCAAGTATAGCACAAAATTAGTATAAATTTTTTATTGTTTCTTTGCTCTATGACTAATAATCTCTCCTGATCCTCCCACCTCATCTCTCCCTTTCTCTCTAATGAGCTGTGGTCTGTTATCAGTCATTACAGGAAGCCTGATTATCCAACTGGCATTCTGCACACGCACACAGAGAACTTCCTGAAGGTGACCTTTACACGTCGCCATAGAAACTGCCTCTCTCTGCTCAGAGATGCTCAGCCTGTACACAGAGTAAGAGAGACTGAGAGAGAGAGAGGGAGAGATAACAGAGCATTTTCTTCCAAGCAAATGCATGTTAGTATGCAGCAATGTGCACATGCACATATCATTTTGTGATGTGCCAGTACAGATTATTTTCTGAACCAAAGATAAATAAACATGAACTTGCCTAATATTAAACATGGGGCATTTAAAAGCTTCAATTTCTTATACTTTAATGCACCTACACTACAGTAATTCAGGTTAATAATAGCACTTAAATACATGCCATTAGAACATTACATTTACCGTAGGGTGTTTGTCTACTTTATCACAGGAATGCATGGTGTGAAAGGTATTTGACCTGTCTAAAAATACACTATAAAACCATTTAAACAATAACACACAAGAGCTTAAAAAGATGTTAAAGGCTCTCATCTCAAATATGCTTATTATGATTTAACACTAATGCTAAATGAATGAGATAATTACTGCACTTTTAAAAAGCATGTCAGATCATCACCAATGTGTTGTCAAGTTAAGTGGTTACACAGCTTGTTTATCTCATGAAGCTTCTTCAACACCAGCACAACAACAACATGTATGGTGAGTCTGTTCCTCAAAGTAGCTCATCATTGACAAAATTGACATTAGACAAATATCAAGCAAAAGCAAAGAACAAAAAGGCCAAGCTTAGCATGGATGGCTGAAGCACAACCGAGACACTCTGGCAACTGAAGCAAAATAAATCAGGTGTATAAAAGCAGGAGGGCTGATGAGCTGATGTGAGGCAGGTGTAAATGGGTGTGGCAGGCAGAAATGGTGGTAAAACACACAAAGGAAAAATGGGGCTGGACCTGAAAGTAGAGGGGGCAATGTAAACTGAATAAAAAATGATGGTAAACAACCAAAATAGAAGAATGAACAGGAGGTTGTGACACATCTCCCTTAAAAGAAAAGAAAAAAATGGAGAGGAGTCATGTTTGCATATTTTTATAATCATATTTGATGTGCACCTATTTGTGCTTTGAGACCATTGCAGCAGCTGTATAACCCTAACAAACTGGTGATTTTCAATGCCATAGCTATAAATACACTAAAGGAGCTCATGTGTTTGTTGTCTGGACATTTTAGCTACCGGTTAAACAAAAAATAGTTCTCAGAGGCTTGACATTAATAACTCACTATTGTTATATATATATTTACAAGCCCACTAAAAGCTGCAGCTGCCCTACCCCTCTTGAAAAAGCACAGTCTGGATGCTTCCATACTAAACAACAATGACATTTCAAAATACTCATTCATTGGTAGAGTAATTGACAAATAGTTTCTGTTCAATTAAACAACTTTTTCTTTTGAAGACAAACAACATTTTGGACAAGTTTATAATACTGAAAGTGTACTGACAAAAGTACTAAATTACATTTGTGGCTTTACTTGATGCTGGCAAAACTACAGTCCAAGTCCTATTAGACCTCAGTGCAGCTTTTAACACTGTGGATCACAATATCCTTCTGCAAAGGCTGGAAATATGATTAGGATTTACAGGCAGAGTACTGAACTGGTTCAGATCATATCTGGAAAATAGAAGCTTTTTTTAATATCTGTTGGCAACTGGAGATCCAAAAGGCTCACCATGACCTGTGCTATTGCCCTTGTCTTTTCAGTAGTGCAGCCTATATTTTGCTCTGTGTACCTGTGTTAGCCCTCTGAATATGATTCTTTTTGTCTCCTTTGCTGCAGGCTAAAATTCTGTCTTGCATATCTCTAATCTAATAGAATTTCCTCTATCTTGCCCACTAATGAAAATTTATGTTGATTGATGTTGGCCAGGTGCACTTCAGAGACAACTTCAGAGAGGGAGCAATGGGAATGGTAATTAATCCAAGCACAATTTATGTAAATTTCATTCCATGCTAGAAACTAAAGAAGATAATGTTTTCCTAAAGATATTGTCAAATAAAAGTTCTAAAGCAGATCTGCTTATGGTGAAATCATGTGTGGACTTTTAGGGCAGTATAGAGAAATACATTTCAAACTCACATTAGGGCTAGCACTATTCTAAGCATTTGTTCCAAACATTGGTTCCATAAACTTAGTGGGTCTACGTACACAGGGATTTTATCTGGACATCTGAAATGATGCTGGACGTCACACTACTCTACTTGGCAGTTTGGCAGTTGCACCTAAATCCTGATATTAAGAAGAAACTTACTGTGAAACTAAGTCTAACTGAATAGCAGACTCTCTCCTATTCTTTAGTGAAAAGTGATTTTGTATTTGAGTCGTGATGTGTTTGTCTCTTTATGTCAAGAAGAGTACTGAGATGGTGACTAACACTGCCTTCAGCAGTGTATATCACTAACAGTGATAAAGATAGACTGTCCTGTAATGTGCCTGGAATTCAGAAACATGCTGTGTGTGTGTGTGTGTGTGTGTGTGTGAGAGAGAGAGAGAGAGAGAGAGAGAGAGAAAGAGAACGTTTTGAATAATTGTGTACCTGTTTTGGATTTGGATGTATGACTCAGATAGCTTTCCATGACCCTTCATTAGTTTCTCCTCAGACTGTTCAAGGTCTCCATTTGTGGCTCTATGTACAATTTACTTTATTTTGAGCTGGTGACCATGTTATTTTGTATTAACATGTTTCAATATGTGCACTTGGGTTAAGTCATCTACATAAATTCATTCATCCTTTAATCCATCTATGAAGGTTGATTCTTGAATGAATGTCTGTTTACCCAGTCCTTCCAACCCTCCTGCATGTTTATTCATATTCACAACTGAATCATATATTGTCATGGATGTGACGCTTGCGCAGTAGACAGCGTGGAAATCTGAATCATCGATAAAAAGGAAATAGGCTATAGAGAGCGAGTGGGAGAGGGGGAGAGAGAGAGGGAGAGAGAGAGGGAGAGAGAGAGAGAGAGAGAGAGAGAGAGAGAGGTGACTGTAGAATGATGGGACCCAGCTGAGGGAAGAGCAGCGAGTGATCAGTCTATGAGCTGGTAATGACAGGTAAATGACGATTTTAATTATTTCTCATAACATTTCCGAAGCTGTGACACCTGATGCATTTTACGGATTCATATTTTCATAGCGGTGTCATCCGTCCACACGATGTCCACTTGCACATCTGGAAGCGGCTTCCATGTGGCGAACAATGTCGAACAAATATTTGTTTTCAACATTGTGTTTTCACCTTTAACCCAATCCGATGATTAGCCTATTATATTAGTTTATACGGATTTTACGATGGTTGGTATCCCAATCAAATCAAATGAAACTTTACCCATATGCTTGTAGCCCACCTGCGGATGGCTTCTCTTTCAGAAATTACACCCCCATCCCCAGACGGTCAAGATGTCAGCCTACTATTTGGTGAAAGGGGCTCTATGCAAAGCCCACCTTTCTAAGCTGAAATGGGAAACGTGCAATGTGTCTATTTGCGTCTCGCGGTGTTCGGAAGGACGACTGGATGAGGTCTGATTTCAGACTGGCGTCACATATTACGTCTGTGTGTGTATCCTGCTCAGATGGATGGAAATAATGGCGTTCAGCACCACGGCCAGCTCCCCGTTGACAGGACATACTGTACTGGGGGCAGGATTACTAGGCTTGATAATTATGTTGTTATATTTAGATTGTATTTTTAAAATCTAGTTTGATTTAGATCAAGATAGGATGGTATTTATTTAGCCTGATGATTTGGGAGCTCTACTTTTGTTTCAGTTACAACTGGAAGAGGAAAACTGAAAACTGAAAATGCAGAGGAGCCAGAATTACCTCATAAGAGTCATAGTGAATATATATGAGCTGTTAGCTCATCTGATTGTTTGACCATTTTCACATTTGGTTTTGGTGGTGTTTTTTCATTACATAGCATTTAGGGGCTACTGATAAACTGCATTCCTGTTATGTTATTCAGGATTTAGTCAGGCAGATAACTTTATCTATAGGGCAGACTGGACCATTTACCCTGGTTGTATGATATGTATACATACTGTACACATTTGACAGGGATCGAATAGAAGAGAACTGGGCCTCGGAGTCTCTATGACTTGGAAGCTAGCTGCAGTTCATCAACAGTTTCTCCTATTTATTTGTTTATTTAAGTAAATGTGCCTGAATGATAACTATAAACTTATTTGGATAATATGTAGACATGGGTACAGAAAGACATCACAGCATCTGGGCATCTTGTGCATGAGAATTTTCAGTAGGTACAAATTAAGCAGTAATATGATTAACAGGATGTGCCAGGGAACAGTGTGCCTCATCCTAATGCAATATTTTACTCATCACACTCATGCCATCCTAAATTGAGTGTCTAAAGCTTGAGGGTGCCAAATGCTGTACAAATTCTAAAGCCTTTTGTTACATTTGTGATTTTTGAGCTACTTAGAAGAAAATTGCCTTAATTTAATTTGATGATGACAGCAGAAGATAGCCTGCCTCTCGCTGTGTAACTTCATTTGTCAAAGACAAGCAAAAATAAGCAAGGCACTGGTGATTTCTTTTATGGATTGATCAATATTAGGGATATATACCTTTCCTTTTTAGTTCTTTTGGCAAGAAACAGTTCTAACACCAGGATTAATGTTTTATTCCCACTTCTATTTCCCTGTTGTGGTGTAACAGAAACAGCAGTTGTGATTTAGTGCTATCTGTCAGAAAGTTATGTACAGTATCTTCATATAAAAGCAGTGAGCTGGGTAAAGCCTCTGGAGTTTAAACAAATACTGAGGGAACTGCAACTCAATATAAAAAGAAATATAACTTTTCCTAGAACAGCTTTCTCTTGATTTATTTTCCTCTTTACATGTTAATTTTATAGGGACAAAACAAATAAATAGGCTAAAATATGCAATATATGATAATAATGAACAATACTAATGTATAACCATACAGCTGCAAAACAAAACAAAACAAACAAACAAAACAAACAATAATTTATCCACATTCTTTGATTGAGATGTATGTTAAACATTTTCATCTTGTAAAAATGGTAGGTTTGGATAAATTTGTTTCTACTGCAGGTTACTGATCCATTAACAGCACTGACATGTTTACAGAAAAGTCATTACTAATACATTTAAGGATGTCCCATCCAGTTTCTTTCTTTCTTTTTTGTTTGTTTTGACACCAGTATGGATCCAATTCCTTTAATATTAGGCACAGTGGATTTAGAAAGTATTCAGACCCTTTCAAGATTTCTCCAGTTTGTTATGTTTCAGACTCATCTTTCAATTCGCTCTCTCTCTCTCCTTTTCTTATGAAATACTTCATAATGAAAAAGCAAAAATAGGTGTTTTGTAAATGTATTAAAAATAAGTGAATGAAATGTATTTATATAAGTATCCAGACCCTTCACTTAGTTAGGTTATTTGGTTAAAGCACTTTTGGCAGCAATGACAGCTTCGAGTCTTCTTGAGAATAAAGCTGCTTGGCACACTTTTCTTTTGGAAATTTCTTCATTTTTTTTGGCAGAACTGTTCCAGGTCAGCCAGGTTGGAACAGCAGTGTTGGTGTGCAGTCATTTTTAGGTCCCTCTAGAGATACTCTAATGGGTCCAGGCCCAGACTCTGGCAATACCTGACTGAGCATTTGTATTTTGATCTTGATAGTTGTGTTGTTATATTGTTGTTTGATTTAGAGCAAGATAAGCTGGGATTTATTTAGCCTGATGATTTGGGAGCTCTACTTTTATTTCAGTTACAAATGGAAGAGGAAAACTGAAAACACAGATGTACCTGTCTAAGACGAGTCATAGTGAATATACTGTATATGAGCTGTTAGCTCATCTGATTGTTTGACCATTTTCACATTTTGTTTTGGTGGTGTTGGTTTATTACATAGCATTTAGGGACTACTGATAAACTGCAGTCCTGTTATGTTATTCAGGATTGAGATGGGGGAGGCAACAATGTGGTGGGTAGAGCAGTTGTCTCCCAACTGGAAGGTTGAAGGTTTGAATCTCAGTGCCTGCAGTCGAAGTGTCCTTGGGCAAAACACTGAACCCCATTGCCCCCGATGGTTAGAGCCATCGGTTGAGTTGGCGCCGCAGATGGCTGCCTCGGTTCTGTACCAAAAACAAATTCCTTGTGTGTAACATACTTGGCCAATAAAGGTGATTATCCTTATCCTTATTTAGTCAGGCAGATAGCCGTATCTATAGAGCAGACTGGACCATTTACCCTGGTTGTGTGATATGTATACATACTGTACACATTTGACAGGGATTGAATAGAAGAAAACTGGGCCTCGGAGTCTCTATGACTTGGAAGCTAGCTGCAGTTCATCAACACTCTCATTTATTTATTTAAATTTGGTGTGAATGACAGTGCATGGGTAAAAGCTGGACAGAGTATGTCCGCAAGCCATGTGAATGGTTTCTCAGAGGAAGTTGACAGTGATGCATTCATGCATGCATGTGTGTGTGTGTGCGTGTCCTCATCCAGGCAGACAGATGTGAAGAATGACTTCTTGTTCAGAGATCTGTGGGTCGGAGTATGGTGAACAAGCTCATGCCAGTGGGAACTACCAGCAGTATGGTGTTCGATCCTACCTACACCAGGTACAACCCATGTGCACGCACTCATGCACACATTTTGGTGTGAAGCCACACAAAAGCAAGGACAGGTACTGGATATCCTTCCACAAATATTAACCGTCCTCTTCTCTAACAAACTCTTCTTTTTCACACATCATGATCACTTCAACTGCTTATCCAGTTTTATGAGGAGTGCACAGCTTCTATCTGGGAACGTGATGAAGATTTTCAGATTCAGAGATCGCCAAGAAGGTGGAACTCTTTACTCTGGAAGGTGAGGGTAACCTTCACTTTACTCAAAGAAACTCAGATCTCGCCTGCTCTTATTTAAATAACCATACTATAAACTTAGGTTTTGCTGTACAGAACAAAACAGGCTCACCTTTATTCTTTCTTTTTTTTTTCGGCCAGGTCTGTCTCGCGTTTGGCACCCTGATCTTGTTTGCAGGCCTCATTGTTGTTTTGGTGGGTTACGCCACTCCAGCCAGGATTGAAGCATTTGGCGAGGATGATCTGTTTTTTGTTGACAGGTATAGGAACAACACAGTAGATGAATAGTAGGAAATGTACATTATTGTTAATGTTTTTATATTGATATATGATGTTATAATCTGTGCTGCATTTACATACCTTCCCTCCAAGACTAGATCATTGAAGAGTAGTTATTAGTGTGACATACAGTATAGTCTAATAGGTTCCATTTAGGGTTAGTCAATGCAAAAGTCTTGGATCATATCCTGGACAAAGGTTACCAAAACAATAACAAAATTAGAATAATTTTGCAAAGATTGCATACCATATCTTAAAACTCTAAACCTAAATAACTAAACCTAAGGTCTAGCTTAGACCTTGTGGTGTATAAAAATTATAGTTAAAAACAAAATGTGTAAAATGGCTTTAGACTTGTTACACAAATTCATTCTTTAAAATAACTGTTTATTTCTTGAACAGCCAAGCTGTCAGTTTCAACCGTGCACTGGATGTTTGTAAGCTGACTGGTGCTGTGCTGTTCTGTGTGGGAGGAACCTCCATGGCTGTGGGTCTCCTGCTGTCTGCCTTTGCCAAAAGCTACTCCAAAGAAGAATTGTATCTGCAGCAAAAGTTTAAGGAGAGGTTGGCAGATATGCACACAACAGTTGGTAAGATTTCATTCTCTTCTGCCTGTATTGTATTATTTTCCTAAACACTTCATTACCCATGCTCTTCCTTTTCTTTGTCTTCTACTTTTCATGTGACAAAAGCAAGCATGCAGACACACACCTAACCATCTAAGCATGCATATTTTTGCAACAGTTTGAATCCAGATGTTAACTACTAGTCATGAGTTGATAACAAAATGTGCAGGTGCTGCAGATTAAAATGTATGAATATCCCACCACCAGTAACAGAACTGCTTCTGCCACAGGTACTCCCATAATGAAAATGCCAACCCCCGGAGAGGGAAGAGTTCCAGTCACGCTTTCCAAAGTCCAGAACATCCAGCCAGCAGCCACAAAGTCAGAGACCTGACAGAAGTCTAGATGAAGGCCTAAAGTGAAGAAACATGTATGAGACGTGATCAGTGTGTAGACTATGCGTGAGTGCGCACTTGCGTATGAATGTCAATCTGTGTGTGCATTTTCTGTTTTGAAAGGTCAGCTCACATGACTCATAGCACAGGTTTGTCTTACTTTGCTGTGTTTGACATTAAAGCTGTTTTTAAGGTGGCATAGGTTCTGAGTTATTAGTATAGCTGATACAAGTTTAAGTCTTTTCTTTTAACATCAGTTGTAATTCATAGAGATCTAGCCAAGCACATGCAGGCCCTTTTTGAGCGCTTCCCATATAACAAGCCAGAGAAACATGTCAGCAACTCAGCTAAATAATGTCATCATTGTTTCAACAAAGCGTTTTACTGTCAAGAGAATTGACATTTTGTAAAAGAGCTTGCGGAGCAGTAGATGTAGTGGTGTTTGAAGTTGCTAATAATTGGCTGCCATTCACAGAAATTATCGAAAGGAGCACTGATCACAACTGTAATATCTGCAGTGTTTGTACAGTATGTGCAGAAAACATTGTGTGTACTGTGTGTACATGTGTATATGCAGCTCACCTGCTCATTCTGACACTGACACGTGCTGTAGTGCCATCAGTCATGACAGTACAATATGAATATAAATGTGCTTTCGCTTCTGAATACGTCATAATGTATAAGTACTGTTTACAAGCAACAACAAGCCAAGACAAGTCTTAACTGGTACTTTGCCAGATACTCACACTTTTTCAAAAGAAATTAGACAAATTAGAAGATAACTTTTTCTTCTGTCTTGTTAGGCACTTGAGCTTGTCTTCTTCAGTAAATCTTCAGAAAGGATCAATAGTCGAGACCAGAAAGACTAATGAAAGATACATTAAATCAGATAGAACACACAGAACAGCATAGTCTGTCACTTTTTTTTCTAAGCACTTCATTACCTATGCTCTCTCTTTTCCTAGTGTCCTTTCCATGTGACAAAAACATGTAGATACACACCTGTCTATACGAGCTAGCGTATTTTAGAACATCATGAATCCAGATGTTGTTAATTGCTAATCATGAAATGGTAAAAAATATATATACAGTGCATGTGTTGCAAGTTAAAATGAAGATCAAGGCTGTTGAAGAAACAAAAAACAGCACGACAAACATGTTGCGTAACTCGGTGGTGACTTGAGCGCATTCACTTCTTCAGTGAGATGACATCAGCTACATTGTTTTTGATGGCACTCATTGTCTTCAGCCTGTGATGATTCACATATGCTTTAGATTCAAGAACTTTCTTCCCCTGCTCACACACAAAACTTGACTTTGTGTTCACGTATTATACTGTGTGGGCATTTTCTAAGTTTCCCTGCTGGTTCATGTAGGTGCAGCCGGGCAAAATTGACTAAGGAATATAAATCAAAGGGAGTGATGTTTAATGAGTACTCTCTAGCCAGTGACATCGTCTCATCACTCTGAAGGAGCTGTGCCAAATATAGAGATACATGACAGAATCATGCTTTTGACAGTCACATCATATTGTGACACAGTAAATGTGACACATCAGCATACCCTAAAGCATTTCAAAATTAAAACCAGTCGTGGAAGGAGCACTCAGATTGCTTACTTAACTAAAAGGAGCAATACCACAGAGTAAAAATGCTCTGTTACAAGTAAAAGTCATGCATTCACAATGTTACTTAAGTAAAAGTACAAAAGTATCAGCAGAAAATATCCTTAAATACTAAAATGTAAAAGTACTCATTATGCAAAATGGTACAGTTTTCATTGATGTATATCATATTATTCAATTATAATTACTTTTGTATTATTGTGTACATCTCATTTAATGTTGCAGCTGGTAAAGGGGGCTAGTTTTAACTATCTTATATGCATTTAATTTGAATTACTGCTGAGGAGCCTGTGAATTTCAAATTAAGGATTTATAAATATAATTATACTGTATTCTGTTTTATTAACCTCTTTCTGCAGAGTAACTAGTAACTAAAGTAACCGGTGACTTTAGTTATTGGTTAATTTAGTAAGCAATAACTAAAGTTACTAGTTACTTTAGTTACTAGTAGTTGGGTTACTAAAGTAACTAGTAACCAAAGTTATCAAATAAATGTAGTGAGTACAAAGTACAATATTTTTTTTCTGAAATGTAGTGAAGTTGAAGTATGAAATAGCACAAAATGAAAATACTGAAGTAAAGTACAGAATTGTACTTATGTACAGTACTTGAGTAAATGTACTTAGTTATTTTCCACCTCTTTTGCCAGAAGGAAAGTTGGAAAGGAGTCAGTGACACACAGGCCTGATGAAGAGCCGCTGTAATCCAACACCTTCCACTTAAACAGAATATCGAATCATAACAGACAAGACCTAAGTGAGTAGTACTGTATGTAACATCCTGGTGACATTTGCATGTCATTTAATAAAGGTAAACAAAGTGGACAACCGTCTGCAGCACTACACTCTGACCTGGCACTTCATGCATTCAGGTGGCTGCAGGAATTTAATTAACTAAAAGAAAAACTTTTCACACGATGGAGTGTAGTGAAGTGGCAGCAAATCGCAGTACACTGACATTGCATCAGAAACAGACGTGATTTTGAATTGTCCACTCTCAGCGCTTGGCACTAACACACCACACAGATGGGGAAAAAGAATTTCAGGTCAGGACTGCACCAGACTGTCAGAGCTCTGCTTGCGTTTGCCATTTCAAAAATAGACAGACTTTTGTTTTTTACAGTTTTTATACAAGTTTGGCACAAGCTCCAGCTCACACACTGTAATTGTAACTTAGAAGCACAATAAGCAGTAATGGTCATGTGCTGTTGCTTTTTAAAACCTAAACAGTATTTATATGCATCATAAATATATTTGTAAATATTGTGAGCATGTCATTATAAGTTGTTTTATTTATTTATTTACCTCACTCACATATAAAACATGCTTGTTAGAACAGTTATATCCTACTGTGCATGAATGCTGCTGAGCAATTTATCATCTTCAAATCCATGCAGCACCAATGCTGGACACTTAATGTAGAAATTAATTACTTGCTTTTCTGGCTATGTTCATGTAAGTTGACCTCTGAATATCATTCCCACAACCTCCATGCTCCTGTGTCTTGCCTTTCTTCTTTTACTTCTCTGTGATATCATTTGGTCTCAGATACACAAGCAAACCCATAGCTATAACTATGAAGAGCAATGCGAAAGTTAAGACAGTTTCAAGGAACCTACTCAACTTAAGCTGCAAACCTACAATACAAGAAGAAAAACCAAGCAGCTAAAGAAGATGTTATAAACAAACTTTCCAGTGTGGTCAGAATGTTATTAAGTAAATGTGCTGACTTGTACTTCCATGCTGTGAATAGTGAGTATATGTCATTCCTTTAATTGACCAAAGTTGATTTCTGTATTACAATCCCATTTCCACAGTGGAGATTTTCCTGCTCTCCCAGTTTTGATCTCAGTTCCTCTGTTTTCTCTTCCTGTACCACTAGATTCTCCCATTAAATAAATACATAAAACAAACATGCTGTACTTATTGGAGGTCAGATCGGAAGTAGAGCATCAGTGTCTGCTTTTCAAATAACAGAGTAAAACTGAGATACCTGCAGCACAAAATGTGTGAAGACTGTATTTAACCTTTAAAACACACTCACTAATCCACCAGTACATTAACAGAGCACTGACTTTCCATCCACATCTTACTGTAAGTTTTTTTTTTTTTTTTACACATATTGTCACTATAATAACATCATACTGAGAACAGAAGGCAGGTTTATTCTTGTGGCTCCCTGCTTTATCAACTTTTTTTCCCACAACTTAAAATTGCTGCCAAACAACTGACACTCAGATTCTTTTAAGAATTTAAAGAGGGAGTGTGTTCTTCTCATTTTACAGAGAACACCAGAGAAAGAATGAGTAATAACAGGATTTGGCTTTCATCAATAAAAGACTCCAAACTGTCAGCGGTGTTCTAACATACTAAGCCTGCATTTCACTGCCTAGAAGCCCTTACTGTAATCAATCAGGAAATTCATTTAGATAGGGAAAGTGCAAAAGGATGTCTGCTATTCGGGTCCTTATTAGCACACCCACCCACAAACACACACCAGAGGTGTGGACTCGAGTCACATGACTTGGACTCGAGTCATTAATTTGATGACTTTAGACTCGACTTGAAAAAATGTAAAAAGACTTGCAACTCGACTTGGACTTTAACACCAATGACTTGTGACTTCACTCGGACTTGAGCCCTTTGACTTGAAAAGACTTGATACAAACCCAAATATTAAAACATTTTTAAATGCGTGCACTAATCCATTCATTTCACTCCTCCCCCTCTCTCTGCACCTGTGTGTATGTATGTGTGACCTGTCAGCACAGTAGCCAATCAAATGAATCCAGGAAGGTAAACAAAGCGCTATTCTGCAACTATGGTACCAAAGATAATTTCATTCGGGTACAAAAACTATGAAGTGGTCAACAAAAAACGAATTGCAGTATGCAGAACATGTGGGTCGAAGATTACGGACCGAGACGCAACAACTTCCAACTTCGTTCGACATTTGAAGTTGCACAAAGAACGGTAAGTAGAGCTCACGAGCTAATGCTAAGCTAACTTTAGCTTATCAGGAAACGTGCTACAGCCACGCTCATGGCATGCCATCCAGTTTGTATGTATTGAGTCCAGTAGTCAACTCATCCAAGATTTATAATCAACAAGTCGTCTATTAGCTCACTATCTGTCACTGACGCATGGTGAGGACTAGTGTAACTTTGATGCTGCTCCTGAAATAAATTATATTAGTAATAACACGCACGCACATAGTATTAATAGAAATGCTCAATATTACAATTTATGTATTAACATGGGCAACATAGCATAATTTGCTAAATGCAATTCTTGTTTAACTACATGGAATTTTCTGACGTGCTAATATGATTACATCGTACAGATTTGAAGAATACAGATGACTTCAAAAACAGAGAAACTCGCTGCAGAGAGACGTTTAATATTAAAAACTCAGTTGAGCAACACAGACCATGTTTCAGTCACTGTGGACATTTGGTCTGACCGAAAGATGAGGGGTTTCCTTGGTGTCACTGTGCACTGGATAGAGAAAGATATGGAGAGGATACAACTAAAATCCAAACTCTTGGGCTGTGACCGCTTCAAAGGCTCACACACCGGTGACAGAATCTGTGAACAATTTGAGGCAATATGTGATGAATACAACATTAAAGAAAAATTGGACTTCATCATTAGCGATAATGCTGCAAACATGCGGAAAGCATTCACTGTATGCTTCCCCACTCAAGATGAGGTGCATGACGATGATGGGGATCATCTTGATGACCCAGAGCTGTGGCATGACTTATCCCTGGAAGAGCAGGAAACACTAGATGCTGCTATGGCAAAGAAACAGCGCTTGCAGTGTTTTGCACACACACTTCAGCTAGTGGTGAGAGATGGCTTAAAAGAAACTAAAGTAGCATCTCCTGCTCTTTCAAAGTTATCCAAACTCAGCTCACTGCTGCACACAAGCACAACATTCAAAGACGCTTTCGAAGCTGAATTTGGGGAACAAAAAAGTATCCCTGCTGTTACCAACACAAGATGGAACTCAACAATGAGACAAGTGAAGGCACTTCTGCAGTGTGATCATCCAAATCTTTGTGCTGTTCTAGAAAAGGCTGGGCACAAGGAGTTGTCATTCACAGTGGAACCTGTTGAAAGAGATGGTGGACATCTTGAAGCCTTTTGGAGAAGCAACTGATATGACACAGGGGGAGAAGGTAGTCACAATCAGTGCTGTTGTTCCTTCTGTGCTGTCCCTCAATCACCACCTTGAAAAACTGAAGCCTCAAGTCTATTTCCTGAGTGGTCTGGTCAGAAGTCTCCAAGTATCCCTGAACAACAGATTTCTTGGAATCTTTGTCAATGTGAAAATGGCCAGAACACAAGATGGGATCACTGCCCCGTTTTCAGACCCAGTCTACCTCAAAGCAGCTGCTTTGGATCCTACGTTTTCTCTGTTATGGGTGGAACACCATGTGCTGGTCAGTCGTGATATCAAGACAGAGGTAGCACAGTGAGTTAAAGGTAAATATTATTGATTTTAATGTAACATTTTTCAGTCATAATTTTCAGTGTAATAAGTTTCATCATCAACACTTTGTTTCTATTTTATGTTTTGCCAGAACTGATCCTGCAAGATGCTGGAGAGTCTGAGCAACCTGTGCCTTTTGATGAAGGAGATCAAGAGCACCTTGAACAAGGAGAAGGGCTGTTTGCAGTATACCAAAAGAGGCAGAAGAAGGATGTTGGGACCACTCCAGCACTACAGCTAAGTCACTACCTTGACATAGCCGAAGGACAGAATGCTCTCTTGTTCTGGGCAATGAACATGAAGACTCTCCCTTCTCTCTTCCAAGTGGCCATCAGAGTTTTGGCAGTGCCTGCATCCAGTGCTCCAGTGGAGCGAGTTTTCAGCCATGGTGGTGTCATACTATGGCCTCATCGTGCAATTGTGTTACTTTGTTTCAATAAAAATTAAAAAAAGGATCATCCTGTTTGATGGCATGTCACATCAACTGTATGTAGATATTTTAAATTATGAAAGATTTACAATCAGAGAGAAAGCACAGGCAAGCAGGGGCTTACTAACTGATGCAGGATCATATCAATGCATTAATATTCATGCAAAACACAGCTGTTACAGGACTAAAAACAAAAGCTATTATTATTTAGATTGTTGTGCTGCAGTTGCGCAGTGGCTCCTTGGGAAATTAGTGGATAATGAGAATCTGATTCCTTTGTGCACAGACAAAAAAACAATCTCACATAAATACATCCTGGTTGCTCATTAAGGCATATGTTTTATATATTTATATGTGCTACCAGTCAAAGGTTTGGACACATTTTCACATAAAGGTGAAGGTTTGTCCAGACTTCTCTGTGTTAGTGTGTGTTCTTTAAATCTTTCTAGACAAATACACCAGCAAGACAGTAAATGACACATTAACTAGCTGTAAACTTACATCACAGAACATCTGGATCTCGACTCAACTCTGCTCGCTTTTGGTACCGGGTGCTTGGTTTTCCACTGCAGATGGTCCCCTCTCAGTGTCAACACTCCGACTAACGACTGGTCAGAGATATATCGCTAGTGATCAATGTGCGACACGTCCTGGAACAAAGAAAGCACCATTTTTAAACGTTATTTAATGCTAACCGCTACTTTACTGTAGTTACTGTACTAACTACAAACAGCCACATAGTGAGAATCAAGAACAGCGTTTGGTATCACCTCTGCTCGCATGGAACCTCAACCAAGGTGATAACCAAAAATAGTATCAGGTACTATTCCCAACATTGGCCTGATGGAAAAACAAATAAGACCGGTCAAGTTGGTTGAGTCGAGCTGGTACCAGGCGGTTGAAAAGGAGCTATAAATTCATCCCACAAGGGATGACTCGTCAGCCAAAATTGATCAGGCTTCCTTCAGAGACCTGACCTTATACAGGTCATAAAGGTCATTGAAGGATGTGCCAGTAATTCTGCTCCACACCTTCACAATACCATGGAAATGATTTTTCTGTTTAACAGAAAGTAACCAGTACCAATGAATAAAGGGAAAGATACAAACTGATTCAATAAAACAAGAAAAAAACATCTTCAAAAAAAGTGATGCTGACATGAAAACTGTGAAGCTTACGAAAAAAATGCAAAAGCATCATTGTTTAGTTTACCATGAAATTAAGAGTCATTAAGTTTGGAGAAAATGGTTCCATGTGCACAAACTGTCTTTTATGTCATGTTGAAGATAAACAATAAACTCTGTCTCTCTTGGGCTGCCACTTTTTTATTTTAATATCCTTGAGCTATTTGCAGGTAGCGCCACTGAGAGTCTCCTGCTCAGACGTCTGGCCGAGAAAGTAGCATCAATAACAAACTTAACATCATACAAGACCAACAATACATTTCTTTTCCATTGTTTTTGTTTGTTTGTTTTTTTTTTGACCACACACACACAAATACATGCACACACTCTCCTTTTTTGTCAGCCAGAAATGAACATGACTCATGACACTGAGGTGACACTGAGCTACTGATGTGGAATTTATGGTGGAACTGTGAAACTTAGCTGCTACGGTCAAGACAGAGCTCATACAGCCCCTGCACACACACATGGACCAGGTCAAGCACGATGTATAGAAGGTGTGAAGAGAAAGTTCACAGCTACTGTAGACGGCAACTGAGAATATTTCCACAGTGGCTGATGCACAGTGATATCACCAGATTAAATAACAGGACCTTTGTGTTGTTGTTTGTCACATATGACACATTTCTCTTTATGGAGAATGTGAAGGTACATCACACCATGTTGAATGTTAGAACAGGGGCGCCATTTTGGGAGAGACTTGTATTTACCTGCATATATTTTTATTTTGTTTGGCTAAAAAGCTGCTTAAATCATTTGGACAACAGTCTCACTTTAGAGACTGTGGTAATTGAAGATGGATAACCTTAGCTGACTCTATATGACTAGGGGTGGGCCTAGAGATCCCGATGATGAGAGCGACAGACTGAAAAATGACTCTGCACACTGATCTCAGCTGCCGGTTTGGGAGCTAATGTTAACTAGCAGCTGTCGGCAGATAACACAAACACTGCTGATGAATCAATTTCTGTCCTGTCTGTGATCAAACCAAACACTAAGGTGGACGTTTGGACGTAGTTGAAGTGTCCGCTACTGTATATAGCTCTATGGGGTAGCTTTTTTTTTTAATTCACTTATAGATGTATGTAGTGTATATCTTTATGATTTATAGTCAGTGTGAGCTCCTGAAAATGGTGCATTTACCCAAAATTCAATACAGCATGACGACAACTTCACATTCTCTATCTGTGGGTATTTAGCATTGTTTTTAATCAATCTGTTGCTTGGATAGTTTAGCAGAGCGCTTTTTTGCATGCAAAAATGTCATGCTCTCTTATTGTTTGTCACACTTTGAGGGATTTATTGTAAAATACTTGTCTTGAGAAGATAAATACTTTCAGTTTGACCAAAGTGACTAGTTGAAACATTTGATGTGTCCCTGTATCACAGTTGTCGTACACAGCATCCACCTATTGGTCATATTCAGGTTAAGCTGCCAGACCTTTCCATGAACCTCAGATACTATGGAATTGATTTTCCCTGTTGTAAAAAACCTAACAGAATATTCCTTTCTGCTCCGAGCGTGCTGTTCCACAAACTCTACCAAAGGCTTCAGCTGCCAGCTCCTTCAGTGACCAAGGCTTCCTCTAATAGCCAGAGGGGAAAGGAATAAGGATTCCCATGGCAGCAATGCCTGTAGGTACTGTACTGCTGGCTTGCTGTACCATTTTACTGGCATCCAAATTTACCTATGACCCATAATTAAATTATGAGCTTGGCAAGGTTGTTCAAAGTTAGGCCATTTATTTGCATCGAAAAGCAGGCTCCTTCTGTGCATGCAAATGAAATATCCCACAGATGTTGTTTTTCGCTGTGACTGTTCCACTCTGCGACTGATTTATAGTAAGAGCCATCCTTATTGGCATTACTATTATTGGTCCTTAGTCTCCATCTGGGATTGATGAAGCGCCCTGTTTTGGTGAAATATTGTGATGTCTTTGTTCCGGCATTTAGCAGATGAGCATCTGGCTGACCTAACATCTGGCAAATGGCTTTCATCTCCTCATATGAAGCGTCACCAGGGAAGAGGTAGTTGCCGAAGTACAGGAAGGCTATGACACATCCCAGTCCCCACATATCGATGGCTTCCGATATGGGAAGACCCAGGAACACCTCTGGCGCCCTGAATGAGGGTGCTTGCAGGGTCATTCCAACCTTTGCTTTTCTGACTGGGAGAGCCAGGCCAAAATCAATTAATTTCACCTTGAAGGGCTGATCCTGATGATTGACTAGCATGATATTGTCCACTTTCACATCGGTATGCATAATGCCAAGTCCTTTCAGGGCATTAAATGCTTTTAGTACTTGTTGTGTGATCGGGCGGATTTCATTAAGCGTCAGTGGCTGGAAGTGTCTCTCTTTCATCAGGTCCCAAAGACTCTTGTCTAGCATTTCAAAGGCCAGACAATAGCAGTTTTCACAATCAAAGGCGTCTATGAATTCCACCAAGTTGTTTTGGTCTGGGTCGAGAGTGCTGATTTGTTGTAGCATGTCCACTTCCTGATGAATGTCAGCATTGCTGAGATGGCTTTTGTGGATTTTGATGGCTACAGTCTCATTATTTAGGAGGTTCAAACACTTGGCAACTTTGCCAAAACTTCCTTCTCCTATGAAATCCTGTATAACATATCGTCCCGACTGGCAGTAGATTGTGCTGCCTATTTTTAGCTCTGGTAAAGACATTTTTGCAGTAAAATGTTTCCAGAAATACTAGCAAATCGACTTAAATTCGCCTAACTTGAGGGTATCTGGTAAAGAACTGATAATACTAGTAAGATGATTTAAAATCAGCCAAACTGTAGCTCAAGTGGTGTTATATCCGAGAACCGTTTCACTTTGTAAGCGAGGATATTAGAGTATTGCCTTTGATGTCCGTGTCACGTGATTCCATACATGACGTCACGCTTAAACCTCTAACATTCTAATGTTTTTGTTCAAATTCAGAGGAGCTTTACTGCCATGACAACTTCCTGTCAATGCTTCATTTCCAAATTTATCATTTAGAACAGTGGTTCCCAAAGTGGGGGTCGCGTGATGATTCCCAGTCATAATGTAAACTAAACTGCATTTCCACTAAAACTGCAAATTTGCCTTCATATATTTTGGTAATATTTTTTCGTAATAAAGTTCGTCTATGTGTTAGCCCTGCAATGGATTGGCGACCTGTCCAGGGTGTACCCCGCCTTCGCCCGATTGCCGGCTGGGATTTTTTCACTAGAATGAAACGGTGGTTGTTATCAACAAAAGACAATATAGAGAGAGACCAGCGGAGGAGCGGGCGGGGAAACTGGGAGACAACCAGGCGAAGAAGCCGATGGAGAAGCCAACAGACATGATAGCGGAGGAAAGAGAAGCACAGCCGCTAGAAATGCTATCTACCTCCGGTAAAGCCCGCCAAATCCATAGACACCATGTCCGCCAACAATCGGAGCGTCCCGCCCTTAAAACCCAGATATATAGGGAGGAATTGATCAAATATGGGTTCACATGCATCGTCATAAACGAGGTACAACATCCCCAGTGTGTAGGTTCTGGCACATGAAAGCCTTAAGCCTGTAAAAATGCTATGACACCAAGCATCCCAGTCTTGCTGGTAAACCTGTTGATTTTTGGAGACAACGACTTGAGACTGACTTATGACTTGCAAAACAATGACTTGGTCCCACCTCTGACACACACTGAAAGGGGCCAGTGGAAGAGATAAGAGAAAACTGATGGTGACTCCAGAAATAACACCTTGAGGATCATCGCCTCCACCAGTTAGGCTGTATGACTCACTCACACACACACACACACACACACACACACACCTGCCCCTGTCTCCCCTGCCTTTCCCTGTGCCTCTTGTTCTTTGATGTCTCTTTCTACCTCATTCCGTCTCTCACTCTTGTTCCTCCCTTTCTCGTGGGATGGTGACTCACAAACACATCGGCTGCATGAATCCCAGTTTGAACAGCTGTGCAGGGATACCAGAGTTGTTATAGCACACACACAGAAACAGTTCCCACTATGGGTTCCTACCTGTGAGAGGTAGTTTAGAGTGGCTTTTTGTAATCTTATTTCATGGGCAGAGAAAGGTAAAACGACTAAATGAACATGAAATGACATGAATGGTGGTTGCGTTGGATTGGGAGTGGATGTTTGACAAATAATACGTTTACTTAAAGGGGGCAAAGAATGTCATCACCTTTTCCTCAATGATAAGTGTCTGTGTTGCAAATGACTGGCTCTTGCTTAGCCAATATCAACAACTCCATACTGCAAAGGTGGAAGCACTTTTACTAAAATACTGGAATAAACTATAATGTAAGCCTGGGGTACAGTTTCAAGTGTATGTTACAGTGCCTTGTGAAAGTATTCGGCCCCCTTGAACTTTGCGACCTTTTGCCACATTTCAGGCTTCAAACATAAAGATATAAAACTGTAATTTTTTGTGAAGAATCAACAACAAGTGGGACACAGTCATGAAGTGGAACGAAATTTATTGGATATTTCAAACTTTTTTAACAAATAAAAAACTGAAAAATTGGGCGTGCAAAATTATTCAGCCCCTTTACTTTCAGTGCAGCAAACTCTCTCCAGAAGTTCAGTGAGGATCTCTGAATGATCCAATGTTGACCTAAATGACTAATGATGATAAATAGAATCCACCTGTGTGTAATCAAGTCTCCGTATAAATGCACCTGCACTGTGATAGTCTCAGAGGTCCGTTTAAAGCGCAGAGAGCATCATGAAGAACAAGGAACACACCAGGCAGGTCCGAGATACTGTTGTGGAGAAGTTTAAAGCCGGATTTGGATACAAAAAGATTTCCCAAGCTTTAAACATCCCAAGGAGCACTGTGCAAGTGATAATATTGAAATGGAAGGAGTATCAGACCACTGCAAATCTACCAAGACCTGGCCGTCCCTCTAAACTTTCAGCTCATACAAGGAGAAGACTGATCAGAGATGCAGCCAAGCGGCCCATGATCACTCTGGATGAACTGCAGAGATCTACAGCTGAGGTGGGAGACTCTGTCCATAGGACAACAATCAGTCGTATACTGCACAAATCTGGCCTTTATGGAAGAGTGGCAAGAAGAAAGCCATTTCTTAAAGATATCCATAAAAAGTGTCGTTTAAAGTTTGCCACAAGCCACCTGGGAGACACACCAAACATGTGGAAGAAGGTGCTCTGGTCAGATGAAACCAAAATTGAACTTTTTGGCAACAATGCAAAACGTTATGTTTGGCGTAAAAGCAACACAGCTCATCACCCTGAACACACCATCCCCACTGTCAAACATGGTGGTGGCAGCATCATGGTTTGGGGCTGCTTTTCTTCAGCAGGGACAGGGAAGATGGTTCAAATTGATGGGAAGATGGATGGAGCCCAATACAGGACCATTCTGGAAGGAAACCTGATGGAGTCTGCAAAAGACCTGAGACTGGGACGGAGATTTGTCTTCCAACCAGACAATGATCCAAAACATAAAGCAAAATCTACAATGGAATGGTTCACAAATAAACATATCCAGGTGTTAGAATGGCCAAGTCAAAGTCCAGACCTGAATCCACTCGAGAATCTGTGGAAAGAACTGAAAACTGCTGTTCACAAATGCTCTCCATCCAACCTCACTGAGCTCGAGCTGTTTTGCAAGGAGGCATGGGCAAAAATTTCAGTCTCTCGATGTGCAAAACTGATAGAGACATACCCCAAGTGACTTACAGCTGTAATCGCAGCAAAAGGTGGCGCTACCAAGTATTAACTTAAGGGGGCTGAATAATTTTGCACGCCCAATTTTTCAGTTTTTTATTTGTTAAAAAAGTTTGAAATATCCAATAAATTTCGTTCCACTTCATGATTGTGTCCCACTTGTTGTTGATTCTTCACAAAAAATTACAGTTTTATATTTTTATGTTTGAAGCCTGAAATGTGGCAAAAGGTCGCAAAGTTCAAGGCGGCCGAATACTTTCGCAAGGCACTGTATGTAATATTTCTACTACCCTTAATTACAGACACAAATTTGACTGTTGAAGTTACTAGTTACTTGCAGACCCACATTAAAATGACTTATGAGCATATAAAGTACACATGGATGTAGAGGTGTCTCTATATTTACATCCTCCCCTACATCCTAAATTCAGTTACATACATGAGAGGGTCAGAATACACCTCTGAATATAATGTAGTCCAGTACAACACCACTTTTACTATGACCTCAATAACAATTCAATTTATACCTTTATGACAATTTCACCAAAACCAATCATTTTGAGCTTCATAAACACAGATGTTAAGGCAGAAGTGTTGCACTGAACTGCACACAGCTGTACAGGTGTACCTAATAAAGTGGCCGGTGAGCCATAAACAAGCTGATAACTTTATTTAAAATTCCTTCAGGAGCCCACTACTCTTATGTAAACCACGTTCAAAATAAAAGTGGAAAGTTTAAAGTTATCAAAGAAGATTTAAACATAAATGTTTACCTTTCAATCATACCACAGACAGTGGAATGCCATTTCAATTTAAGTATTGTTTTTATTTTTATTTCACAAGTTTTATTAAAGTCATTTCATACTGATATGACAGGAATAAAGGAGAGGCAGACGAGTCGCATTAAAGCATCTTGTGAAGGTGCATAACTGCTCAAATTTTCTTTTTGTCAATGATTTATTGATTTCAGTAGAATATAATTACAAATAAACACATTTTCATTTAGTAACTAAATATTGAGGGATTAGGATTTGGAATAGGTTTACCAAGAAGACTTCCAAACTGTATCTGTCATCATACGATTTAGCTTAACATTCAGACATGTAGCTTATTGTACTTACTTAAAAAGTTCATTTTTATCACTGGCAAATAGACAAAAATAGCATACATATAAAAGTGTTAAAACAAGCAGCTACAGTAGCACAGCCATACCTGGTAAAAATATAAAACATATGTATGAATTCAAACACTAATGTGTAACTGCGGCTATGCTCCACTTGCCCACTCACTACAGTGCTCCCAGTATTTGTTTTATGTTTTTCAGGCTTGAGTAATGTTTTGATGATTAGCATTTCAGAGCAGGCCTAATTTTGATGGTGTCTTTGTACTTGACATCACTTAGCATTATTTAGCCATTTGAAGCTTCTGTTATTTGCTCGGCCTTGCGAGACCGCTGCTTTTCAGCTTCTACAAGGGCGCCTAGTAAAAATATCAGTGACTGCAGTCTAGTCGTGCTTTGCCTTCCATGAATTTGTTCTGCCATTACTGTATATATGGACTGTACTGTATTGCTTTCTATTTTCAGCACTGCTCATTAAATAACTTTTACATTTTCTTTCTTTCCTAGTCCTCATTTTTCCTGCTTTTATCTAGGTTCCATTTACCACCGTTCTCTCCATCCAAGGCCTCTGTGCCACATGCTGAAATTTTACGTTCAGCTCTGCTTCACTTTTCAACTCATTGTCTTCTCAGCTGACCTCTTCATTCACATCGTTCTCCTCTTCTTGCTGACTCCAGCGTTTGCTTTGCTCACATCTTCTTCCGTTTCGTTACTGTTGCTGCTGCTACTTCTGCCAGTATCAATCACTTTAGTTTAATTATCTGACTGAGTGTTCCCTGTGTCGCTGCTGTTCTGATTCTCTCCTGTGTCTACATCTTTATTTTGGTCACTGGTGCTGGATCCCTGCTCCTCACTCTTAGCCTCCTCCTCTTCCACCTCCTCCTCCTTCTCCTCCTCCTCCTCCTTCTCCTCATTCTCCTCCTTCTCCTTCTCCTCCTCCTCCTCCTCCTTCTCCTCCTTCTCCTCAGGCTCTACTGTTGCTTCTTCCTCTCTTTCATCATTTTGCTCATCATTTTCCTTCTCTTCTCCTCCCTGCTCTTCACCATTTGTCTCTTCATTCTCCTCCTTTGTGTCTTCTGTGGTGCTTTCATCAGCGACCTCTTGCTTCTCTCCTTCTTCTGCAGGATTCTGTAACGCAGTAACACCACAGAAACAATTTATGGCTCTAAATATTTCAACAGGTGCAGAGTATAATCGGATTGTTTACAATAATTGTGATTTACACTTCCCTGAAAGAGCATGGCAGTTCTGTTGAATTATGAGCACTTGAAAATCATTTGGAGCCAAAGCATGATTTTTTTTTTCAAGATTGTTGTTTTATAGCATGTCGATGAATATGAAACACACAATGGAGAAAGAACACAAATTCCTAATGCCCTGTGCTACTGTATATCAAGCAGGTATTAATTAACAGGTAATGAATGTGCAATTAAATAACAGGTATTGCATAATTATATATGCATATAGTTAGTAAATTCAATTCAAACTAATTGTTTATATGACATATAGGTATGAATTATGTGTCTGAAAGCATCGAAAGACATATTTTCTGGGTCTGATGCAAGACAGAATTATGACAAAGACCTAAGCCCACATTACAACATGTAACATGCCTGCTCTGACCTTAATGAGAGGTTATATCAAAGAAAACACACACCACAAATCTCTTTGGAAAAATGTCATTGATGGTTCCTGCAATGATCTATTATGCACAGTACTGTATGCTTATACCTCATCAACTGGCTGGTCCTGAGGGGGTTTGTCGTCAGTGTTTCCATCATCAGCTTTTGAATCTAGGTCATCTAGGGAATAGAGGGGAAGCGGAGGTTTCAGTGTGATATTGCGACATATAGAAATCCATGCATTTCACCTTTATTTGTGATACTGTGCCCTGAATGGGCTTGTTAGGGGCAATATAACTTGCAATAGGTGTTATCCTAGTGCAAATACTGAACATTTATTCTATCATATACAGGCTAAGGTAGACTTGTCTAGGCCAAATCAGACAAAACAGCGAGACACAGGTAATAAAATGGTATGAAGTGGATCAAAGGCATGGATAATATTTTTATCCACTGAGTGATATTTTGTTTTTAGGCTCAATGTGACTAAATGAAGCAGAAAACAAAGCAGCTCTACACTTCACAGCATTGTGTATGACTTTAATGTAAAACAATTCCAAAAAGGCTATGTGCTGTTAACTCAGATGGACTGAATGTCTCTCTTGTTGTGTAAAATCACCGTACCATCAGTTTGTGATCCATTTCATAATGTAATATTCCTTGATGTGCTCATTACTTTTTAAGACCCTAAACCCTGAATTCCTCAGTCAGTGCCCATTACATTATTTCAGAAATCCATAAAATACACATAAATAAGGGAGCATTTATTCATCCTAAGTGATTGTAGAAATTACAGTATGAAGTCTTTATTTGGGTGCTGTGCTTTCAGGCTTGAACAAACACGGCACAAGAGTGACACCTGGTGGTAAAGAGGAATCTCAGGCAAGTAAACAACTGCCCCTGACAATGGAAGTGTGTCACCATCAGCCAGTAAACATTTTACAGGATCAGCAGGA